TTTCCCTAGGGCAGGTTTGATTGCCTTCTGCCCTGTGGTCCTTTATTACAGATGTCTGGTTCCTGCTGGATGAGAGGAGGGACAGTCCTCTTTCATAACCGTGGCCCCAGGAGAAGCAACAGCAGTAACTAGCTGATGGATGAGTGCACGTGTTGCTGACTCGAGTGCTAGGAGATAAGAGCTATACAGGGCGCTGCTGCAAGGGGGCACTGCTGCTCAGTACTGCGGAGGGGATCCAGGAGGACTGGGCTGTGGGCTGTCATAGGGGAGGGGGGCTGAGAGGGCCTTGGCAGGTCGCCGTGAGGTTCCTGCCTCTCTGCGTGTGACGTGGAGGAACACAGAAGCAGGCGGTCTCACCTGCTTTATGTCCTCATAGAAGAGGTAGAGAACAGGGTGGGTGTGACTCAGCTCCCACCACTCCTGCACGTGCTGGTACCAGGACCCGTAGGACACTGGGGAAAAGGGCAGGGGGGCATGGACACAGAGGTTGGCATAAGTTATAGCTGGTGCCCCTCAGCTCCACCCCGCCCCCTTTCCTTCCTCCAGAGTCAGCCCCACCTTCCCCAGCCATGAACTTCTCCAGAAAGCTGTCCCAGGTGCCAGGGTCAGGGTGCACCTTGGCCATGCGGTAGAAATGGTAATAGGAGACGGCCACATCCTTTGCGTTGCGGGCAACGTAGACCACCTGGAGGGGCAGACAACCCCCCACCCCAGCACCATCACCACACAGCACACTGGGCACTAGGTGTCCCACCCTTCACAGCATCCTTGCCAGGGAGGTTCTCTCAGTTTGGCTGAGGGAGAAACGGGTCTAGAGGCTGACTCACTTGCAGTCCCATGGTGTGGGCGAGACTGAGCTGGGGCTTGAACCCTGCTCTGATGCCGAACTCTGGGCTGCTCCCTGAAACCATATTTTATACTAATCTAATCCCCTCAATGCCACTCTGCCTGAATTTGGAACAAGGCATGCTGGATTCCCACCAGCCCCTCTTCCACGGGCCTGTGAGCCCGACTCTGCACAGAGGAGTCTCCTTTTCACCAGATTTTCTGACCCCACTAGAGCCGTCAGGCAGATGCCCCCCGCCTCCCTTAAGATGAGACCAGGCTGGAGGAGGTGAGACCTCCCCAGAAGGTAGGGCCAAAGCTGGGATGGACCCAGAAGCCTCCTTCCCTGGCTTCCTCTGCCATTCACCTTGACCTTCTGATCCAGCAGGGTCGGAGGAAGCAGAGCCAGGGGCAAGTGTGTCTTGATCAGCCGTGGGGCTGGTGTATCTTCCAGAAGCTCAGCACCTAAGCCGTAGGTAGGGAAAAGCCAGCTGAGCTGGAGCCCGCGTCCTACCTCCTTCCGCTATGCTTGCCCCCAGCACCCCGCCACATACCTGTGGGAAGGCCAGGGACCCTGAACTCAAGGAAGGGCACCCGGACGAAGATGGGGGCTCTTTGACACTTCTCCAGGTCGCCACCCTGGTAGATCAGGTCCAGGATCTCGCTTACCCAGGTGGTGCCTGGAGAGAGAGGGAAATGGGAGATGAGCAGGGCTGAGGGCACGCCCCTCCCGGCCCAAGGTGGGGACTGAAGCCCAGAAGCGGCATTGGTGCCCTCATCACCTACCAGATTTGGGGTAGGTGCTGATGAGCAGGTCATTGGGCCAGGCTTGGAAGCTCTGCAGCGGCCCCAGTCCCTCTGCAAAGTACTTGATGAGAGGGATCCCCTTCATGTACTCCAGTGGCGGGCGGGAGGTGTCCTGGACCAGCTCCATGCTGCCACGTCAGGGTCCAGAGTGTAGCTTCCTTCCCTTAACAATATCACAGTGGTGCCAGCTGTTGAATTCTTGCTTTAAGGTAAGGAAACTGAGGCTGAGGGAACCACTTGCCCACACTCACAGAGCTAGTGACTGGTGGGGCTGGGATTCAAAGCCAGATACAGTGCTCATGCGCAATGGGTCACACCCAGGCTCATTTTTATTTGCCTGCAAAGCTTTTAAAATCCCAAACCAATTAAAACACTCTCTGGGGATGGGACCCAGATAGTTTTTTGGAAGCTCTCCAGGGGATTCCATTGTGCACTTGAGAAAACCCACTCTAGGTCCTGCCTATCTGAACTTCCTGCCAGCCCTCAGCTTGCTTTCTCTTCCTGCTTTGCCTCCGGGCCTAATCCTGGTGGGCTCCTCCCTGACGTCCTCTCCTTCAGCTCCCCTCCTTGCCCCTCACATATGTTGGAAAACTCCAAAAAGGCCAGTTGGGCCTGAGACCCCGCTTGCCCAGCTACCCTCCCCAGCTTGGAGAAAAACACAGCCAATTGAGCAACTGTTTGGGGAGCCGGAATCTGGTATGTGAATGGGCAAAACTGATGACTCACTGGAGGAGGGGGAGGGGAGGGAGGAGGAGGGGGATTATTCAGGCCAGGCTGTAGATTGAGATGGGCAATCCACGGGGAACGGGCAGGGTGTGAGAAGCTGGAGCAGAAAGCTCAAGCGACCCAGCTAAGAGCCAGCAGCGCAAGCTGAGGGAGATCCAGCCCAGCCGGCCCACCACCTCCTCTCACCTGACTTCTCTGGATCTTGGCCTCCTGACGTCTGCGTGCTGCGGCTTAGAACTTAGAACGGGTGTGGTATGGTGAGGGCAGAACTGCTCTCTGAGCTGAAGGTCTTGTAGGTCCAAAGTGGGAGGGATCTGGAGCCAGCACTGGGACTTGGCTGTTGTCCAGGAAGGAAAGGGTGAAGTTCGGGGTGGGAGGGCCCCTCTGTGCTACCCTGCTCAGTGCCCAGCTGGAATCAAGCTTAGCCCGGCCTGAAAACCTAAGATGTAGGTTTAGTGTATAGAAAATAGAAGACTAAAACTAGACACAAGGGTGCAATAGTTTCCTTTTTTGTTTTTTGGTGTTTCGAGCTGTAATCCTGGCTCCTGACCTGCCCTCTAAACTCCACCCCTGAAAAGGGGGCCAAAAGACAGCTTTACCTAATGGACCCAGTCTAGAAAGGGCAGAGGAGTGGAAGGGAAACGTGGGACACTCACCCTCCTGCTGGCTCCCGGCCAGTCTTGAAGAGGCCAAGGGTTCATATGGAAGGCAGCCCACAGGCCCCCAGCAGCCCAAACATTGTTCCAGGAACTTGTGGCTCTGACCACGAGGCCAGTCCAGAGGGACGTGCGTGGGCCGGGTCATGGGGTTTGCGGCAGAGCCGAGCAGGGCAGGCTCTTTTTGAGGCAGCAAAGGATAGGAAAGAGCCAGAATGCTTAAGTCGAATAACCCTGGGAGTGAGCCCCAGCTCCATGGCTCCCGTGGGAAGGCAGCTCCCGTGGGACAGCACGGAGCCTCACTCATGGTTGGTAAAACAACAGCCCCCAGAAGGTGCTTTTTTTTCTGTGGGTTTGAACAAGGCTCTGCAGACAGAGATGAGGAGTTGGGGCTTAGAGAGCCACAGGACCCCATGGGGGGACAGCATTCCCCCTCTCCTCCTCGGCCTTTGTCCTTACTGTTTGGATTAAAGTCTGGAGTCAAGCTGGGCACCGGAGGTGGGTGGGCTCTGTGTGCAGGGTGTGAGTCTCCCAAGCCCTCAAAGGACCATGTGACTTCAGAGGCTGGTCCGTGCTGGGGCCAGTGGCCGTTCCCCACTCTGTCCCCCTCAGGCCCCAGTGACTGGCAGGGTCTCTGCCTCCTACCCCACTCTCCCACCCCAGAGCAAACACCAGAAGGTACCTTAACTCAGACTTTTTATTGTACTCAAGTAAAAACTGCCCAGACCCACAGGGGGTGGCACAGAAAAGGAGTGGGCAGAGGTTGGGGACGCTGAGGATCAGATCTCCAGCATGTCGGTCCAGTGTTCCTGTGGAGACAAGAGGGTTGGTGAAAGGCAGCCCAGGAGATGGGGTGGGGTAGTGAGGCTGGGGCCCAAGCCACCTCTCACCTCTTCTAATTCCGAGTCCTCCTCTTCCTCCTCGGTGCCCATCCGGCACAGCCAGATCAGGTCTCCCCACAGCAGTGAGTTCTTACAGCTACCAGGGGTGCGGTTGGTAGGAGATAAGAGTCAGAATCACAAGCCTCCTCCAGGCCAGGACCTGGGTGCTAAGATGAGGACTACCCCAGGCCTGGACTTGGACAACTGGGCACCGTCTTCCCAGAGCTAAACCAGGCTGGAGTAGGGGTGCTGGACTCACCCAGGGCATTGGCCCTCTATGGGCAGAAGCTGCCCTGGCTCCTCCTGCAGGAACTCCTCTGCCAGGCAGATCACATGGGCCCTCAGGGAGCAGCCAGGGTGGGGGCAACACAGGGGGTCTTCTCCATCCTGTCAGAGGTGGCAGGCAGGTAAGAGAGAAAATGGGGAGTAATGATGTAGCTAGCAATGGTGAAGAATTTCTATGGACTAGACACTGTTCCAAGACTTTACATAAAACCACCTTATGAGACATACGCTCTTGATACTACTATTTGTATTTTATAGATGAGGAAACTGAGGCACGGAGACGTTAAAATACTGGCTCACAGGGACTAAGCTGGCCAGTTTTCTCTGAGTGTTAGCAGCGATTACATAACACCACGGCAGGGCAGCCAGACCTAGAGTTCCTTAAAGGCTGAGCAATCTCAGGCAGGTCACTTAATCTTTGAATGGCAAGAGCTCAACTTACATTCACTGAGGGCTCAGTAGAAGCCAGACTCATCATCTCAATTAATTTATTAAATATTTATTGGCAATCTGCTCTGCACTAGACCCTGTTCTACAGTAGTGAAAAGGAACTAAATGCCCCAGCAGAGTTTAGAATGGGGTGGGGGTAGAAACTGATAACAAGGTAAATAAAATATACAGTATGTCAGACAATAATAAGTGTTAAAGGAAGCCAGGGAAGTGTACAAGAAAGAGTGGCAATTTCAGATGGAAAGCCAAGGAAGACCTCACGGAGGAAAGGTGGCATTTTATCAAGACGTGAGGTCTAGGGAAGAACCTTTCAGTCAAAGGGAAAGGGCAAAGGCCCTGAAAGGAGAATACTGGCGTCGAGGAATGGCCGCAAGCACTATGATCCCCGTTTTCGAGATGGGGGCAGACTGGCCAAAGGGTGTCAATGGGCTGCCCAGTCCCTCAAGAAACAGCTTGATCTTGAGTCCACTGAACCCTAGACCGCCCTGACCCGGAGAGCAGGTGGAGAGTCTTACCTGGAGCACGCAAGCGCACAGGGTGCAGCGGGTCTCGGCGTCATGCTCCAGCTCGGACTCGGTGTCAGCCGCGCGGCGCCTCGGGGCTGAGGCCCGGGGCGGCGGAGGCCCGAAGGCCAGCGGCACGTGAGGCGGCGGCGGCGGGCAAAGATCCTGGCGGAAGTCGGCGCGCAGCCAGCGCAAGGTGAGTGGAAGGCGCGCCCAGGGCGGCGCGCGCAGCATGTGAGCCAGCACGCGCAGGTGAAAGGCGAAGGCTGCCTCACCGCGCAGGCGCGGACCCACGTGCGCCAAGCGGCGCGAGGCCTGCGGGTGCTGCCAGGCCCACTCGAACTGCAAGCGGGGAGTACTGAGCTTCAGGGCCGCCCGGGGAAGGCCCTAAGCCCTAGCCCCCGTCCGCCCGGCACCCCCGTCTCTTTTCTTACCCGAAGGGCGGCCACTGCGGAGGGGAAGCCGTGTACGATGAGCACCATCTCCCTGGGGAAGAGAATGAGGGGCGCGGCCTGTGAGCCCCTCGCCCCTCCCCGTGTCAAACCGAATCCCCTCGCCATGATGCGCCTCCGGTCCTACCCGGAGGGGAGTCACACCCGGCTTCAAGCCTAGCCCACGAGGCTCCGCCCCCTTCATGGAGGTATGTCCCCTCGCACCTGCTAACCTCAGGCTCCGCCTCCAGTCACAGGTATTTAACAGCCCTCCTCAGTTCCTCTCCCTTCCAGGCTTTCTCTATTCCAACCCAACCTTGTTCACCAAGCCCCCTGTCGGTGGACCAAACCTAGATCATCAATCCCCTTCCCACCCAACCCCCTCCTCTGAGACCCATAGCCCAGACTCACAGGGCTCCGCCTCCCCACTACCCCTTCTCCCCCGCGATAGTCCCGCCCTCGTCACTAGGACCCCGCCTGCAGCCCTGTTTTTCAGCCCCCACGCCGGCCGCGCCCCTCTCGGCGGGTCTCCCCTCAGCCGGCTCCGGCCTCCTCCTAGAAGCCCTCCTCCTGACAGTGACCCGCCGCCTCTTACCAGGGCCCGCGTCCACTGGTCCGCCAGGCCCCGCCTTTTTTGCGGCCCCCGTTGTGCTGCTGCACCCGACGAGCAGGGTTGACCGTGAACCCTACGTAGACGCGGCCCCGGTGCCGAGGGTTCAGGCAGTAGAGCAGGTAGACGCCGAAGAAGCGCCCGGGCCTCGCCGCGCCCCCTGTGGGGCCCATCGGAACTTGGGGGTTGATTGCTCTGGCCTGTGACCCCGGGGAGAGCTGGGTTGCCAGGGACGCAAGATGCTTGTCTCGGAAAAAGCGCTTGGGGGCAATCCCGAGGTACCCTAGAGGCCACAGCAATGCAGGTTCGTGCACCCTCTACTAGCTGGAGCTAGGGTGTCCAAACCGGGGCGCAGAACCCGGGCTGCTGTGCAGGCGGCGGGTACCAATTAGCGTCCGCTGAGGCCTTATGCAGACTCTGATTGGCTGAGTGATGGTAGGTGCAGAAACCGGAGACCATTGGAAAACTGCGCTTGCAAGAGGGCGGAAGTGCTGTGTTTATTGACGCCTTAGTAAGGGCGGAAGTAGAGACCTCAACGGAAGTGGCCCTAGTAAGGGCGGAAGCAGTGTGGCAGGGGTCCGAGGAGGGCTACTGTCCCCGCTGGGCCGTCGCCCCCGTTGGGCTGCCACAATGGAACTCAGCGCCGAGTACCTCCGGGAGAAGCTGCAGCGGGACCTGGAGGCGGAACACGTGGTGAGTTGAGCGGCGTGGACACTCGCCCAGCGAGGGGAACAGGGCTCCTGAGGGGCGGGCTTGGCACCATCCACCCCATTCTGCCCTATAGGAGGTGGAGGACACGACTCCCAACCGTTGCGCGTCTAGCTTCCGAGTCCTCGTGGTGTCGGCCAAGTTCGAGGGGAAGCCGCTGCTTCAGAGACACCGGTGAGACCCCAGGAACACCTCATTCAGCGCGGCCCCAGCTCCAGGACCACATCCCCGGCCGCTCCCCGAAACCTAACTCACCCCCACCAATGCGGCCCAGCACTGCAGATCACGACCCCAGCGATCCCGCCTTCATGGCCTCTGCTTCAAATATTGAGACTTCAGCCCTCTACCTCTCTTGTTGCCAGGTTCCGGGGACTACAACCTGGGGGACACCTCCAGTCTCCCGGCTCACCTTAGCTTCGGGGTCTGCGACTCAGGCCCCAGCCTGCCGTTTTCTAACCCCATCTCTCTCTCAGGCTTGTGAACACTTGCCTAGCAGAAGAGCTCCTGCACATCCATGCCTTTGAGCAGAAAACCCTGACTCCAGAGCAGTGGACCCGTGAACAGCAGAAATAAGGGACCCGGACCTGCACATCTATTAAATTATGAGTCAGGCCCAGCTTCTGTGTCGGTGTGTGTTGTGTGTAGGAGGGTGGGAGGTGTGCAGAGGCCGGGTCTAGGGCCTGGCTTCTCCCTGCCCTCCACTCTCCATTGTTTTACTTTGGGCAAGTCTCTCTCCACACAGAGGCCTTCGTGTCCCCACTTATAAAGTGAAAGTTCAGTTCTTAAAGTCCCTTCCAGGGTGGGCCTCACAGGTCTTCTTTGTAATCCTTGGTGGACCCCCTAGGGGTTCGGCCACTACCCACCCGACCCACCCATTCATTGACCATTGCTGGGGGTTCCTGCTCTGTCCTCCTTCAAGATGCATAGATGAGAAGTGCTCGGGGTTTTAGGGCCCTGGGCAGTTTAACAAACCTCTCCCTCTCCCTAATATCATCCCAATGTCAGAGGCATTATAGAAGATTCCACACTTCCCCTGTTGGTTCCCCAAGCCCTTCACAGCCTCAGGGACCTGGTACCCCAGCAGGGGCTTCCCAACACCTGGAATGCCAGTGTTTTCTGGCCCCTGGAGAATGTCCAGTGACCGTTTGGCCCTGGGCGTGATGTGGCCACAGCTGACCCTGGAGAGCTGGTGAGGTTTTTCAGGAATGGAGGGGTGGGATGGGCATAGGGTTACAGCAGGAAAGTAAGGCCAACCAGAGCCACAAAATTGGGGCATGTGATGCCCTAGAGTCGACACAGGTGCCAGAGTTGATTAGGCCTTGCATAGATGAGGGCCCTGAGACCCAGGAGGAATAGAAAGTGTGCTAATTGGGGCCAGAGCTCTTTGGGGGTGAGAAATTGCAGATTTCAACCATCCCACCCACCCTGTTTTCCTGTTTTCAAGGCCGGTTTCTTGGCCCCTAAATTACCACCACCCCCACCCCCATCTCCCTCTCTTGTTTCTCTCAGAGGAAGCTGGAAATCATGGTGAGTAGGGGCTAACCCTTCTGAGTTCCAGGGATCCTTCCCTGAACTTTTTTCCGTTTCCCTGGGCCAGGAGAACTAGTGACTACCCACAAGTCTGCTTCACTAGGAGGGCCCATCATCCCTTTGTGTGGGAGGCTGAGGCCCAGGCTCCAGATGGTCTCCTCCTCTCTGTACCACACCCCTGATTGGATCCACCCCCTGGGTTCACAGAGCTGTGGTGGAATCCCTCCCCATTCTATAGATGACCAACTGAGGCCTGGAGAGAAGTGACTTGCCCAGGGTCACATGGTTTACATAGAGATTGAGACCCAAATGGGCAGACAGGGACATTTGTACGGGATGCCAAAGGGGAATGGGGGTTCAAAGGGGACATTTAGTCTTTGCTGTGGTCCCAGCAGGATGAACAAAGCCCTGCTGTGGCCAGGACACCCATCCCCAACAGTCCTGTGTCCCAGCTCAGGGGGGATCACCTGCTAAGTTGGCCATCGGAAACCCATTTCCGAGTCCCCCCTTGATAGGGCTTGACAGATTGAGGCCAGACCCAGGTGGAAGCCACAGACAAGGTTCAAGAGGCAGCCACGCGGTGCAGGGAAGGCTCTGAACTAGAAGGGGAGACTTGCATCTTGACTCGGGATCTGTCCCTCAGTAAGCCCAGCTCCTGCTCTCAGCCTCAGTTTCCTCGCTTGTAAACTAGGGTCAGGGCCTATTGCTTTGATTCTAAGCTTTCTTCTTACAAAAGGACCCCTTATTTTGATCCCTCGGGCTTACAGTTTGAAAGATGTCATGTAAGTGCTGGTTGCTTCATTTTCCCCACAAGCAAGCAGCAGTGTCAGGACAGCTGCATGCAAGCTGGTGTTGTGGTTGACTAGCAAAGGCAGATTTGGGGTAAACAGAATGACCGAGGCTCCAGGCTAGATCCCTGAGCAGCTTCGACCTACCAGCTGGAAAACAGAGCAGGCTCCCAACCCACATCAGCACAGGATGGCTCCCACCCGCAAAGGCCTGTTCCTGTCTGTGGTGTAGGGCATTCAGAGGCATCTCCCCAGCCCGCCCCTGCCATGGGTCAAGCTCATCAAGGCTATGGAGGGGGAAGCTCAAGTGCAGGTCAGTTCAGCAGACCCAGCATCTGGTGACCAGTCACTGGAGTCTGAGAGGTACCAGAAAATAAAGCCATTTTATTAGTATTTTCTTATCTGCCACTGTGGCCTGAGGAGTGGGAGTAGAAGGGAGGGAGGCGATGCCGTTGGCCTCAGCTGGTGGTCCTCTACTTGGCCTGGACTGTCTCCTCCAGCCTATCCAGGCGTTTCTGTAGCTCCTGTACCGTGGCCTGGAGCTTCCTCATCTCTTCCTCCAACCGGGATACGGCATCCTGGGGGATCCAGGGCTGCATCAGGCCCAGCTCCTCCCTGGCCACTAGGCCTCCTCCCACGAGCCCCAGGGCTTGGGCCCTTCTGTCTCTCAGCCAGAGAGCTGCAGGCCTGTAAGCCTGAAACCTGTTTTCTGAGGCCTCAGGATTATCCACTCCCAGCCCCCAAAGGATCCCCAACATTGTGAGTTTGGGCTGCCCCAAATGCCAGCCTCTTTCCACTGGGTCAATGACCACATCAATAGCAGCCCCTGCCCTACCCCATCTTCCTGTCCTGATTCCCGGGCTCCCATCTGCCTCTCACCGAACTGGGAACGCCACTGGCCTCAGGTGCCATCCTCTTGCGCCCAGTGTCCAGGCCCCGGTTGATCCTCAGCTCCCGGCTCTTTGGGGGCACGTAGCCATCCTTGAGGGAAATGAGGAGGGGCCCGGCATCCCGACCCCCTAGCCACTCCTCAGCTGTGAGGGCAGCATCAGGCCCTGCAGTGGGCGGGTACAGGTCCTCCTGGAACAGGTCCGACTGTGGGGCAAGGCCAAGGCTGGTTAAGAAAGTGCTTGGGCCACACCACCACCCGCCACTCCGAGAGCCTGGGGAGGGACACTGGAGTATCACCTTTCTAGGCACCGTCATGGCGATGGGCTCACACCTCCGCTCGTGCAGCTTGTAGAATCTGTGGAAACAGGAAGGCGATCAGCACCCACAGCATGGCTAGGCTGGGACTGAAGCTCGGCGTGCGGTCGGCATTGCCCAAGGAGCATAGGCAGGGGCAGGGGCAGTTACCTGGCAATCTCACACTTGTTCACCTCCAGACCACGTTTGGGCATGTAGCCCATGCCACGCTGGGACTCCTTGGAACTGAACATGGAAAGATAGTGCAGGAATGGGGCCTCGGAAGTGATCTCGAAGTACCGGATAGAGCTGTCACCCTGCAGGTGGTGGATGCAAGGGAGGATCAGCACGGGCAGATGCCTCCAGCTGTGGTCCTTTCCCAGTCCCCCTGCCCACCTTGCTCCCCCGACCCCCTGCCCAACTGGGCCACCTTGCCACAGAGGTAGACAATGTTGGTGTCAGGGTCAAAGAAGGGCAGCAGGACACCACTGCTCGTGTCCAGTTCCTGCAGGGACAGCGGCTCCTCCAGGTGCTTCTGTAGAGACGGGCAGGGGGTTATAATGAGCTGGGCCACGTCAGGCCCAGGTGTAGTCCAGTGATGGAGGAGTGGGGTGGGGGGCTCATAGACCAACCAGCGGAAAACCCCATCTCACAGTGGGTAAACCGAGGCCATGGCCTTCCAGTTAGACGCTTGGCTGGGCTGGGACTAAGCCTGTTCCCCTCCGGGCACTCACCGTGTCCCACAGCGCCACCTGCCGCTCACTCATACGGCTGAAACCTGTGGTCAGGATGTTTCCATCTGACACAAACACGGCACGCACAGGCCGGGTCCCCTCGTGGGGACGGTCCTTCTCCTGGAAGGAAAGGGAGGGGACCGGTCAGGCATCCGCACGCACCCCGTAAGGGCCAGGCCCCAGCTGGGAGTGGGTAGCATCTAGGGGCCTGTTTGGTGGTGGGTAGGAGGGGCAAAGCTCTCAGGGTCAAGGGTCAAGGCAACTCACAGCTACAATGGTGCCTTTGCGGGGCTCAATGATGCGGAATCGCTTGTCGCGGCAGGAGGTACAGATGAGGGCGCCATCTCGGCTCCAGTCCACGCTGTAGATTGTGTCCGGGTGCACGTCCGAGCCCAGTGTCAGCATGGCCGCCCCCGTGCCCACGTCCCACACCAGGATCACATTGTCGCAACCTGGGCGATGCCCCCAGTATCAGAAGCCATGAGCCTCCCACCCTCGCTGTCAGGGGACCAGCCCTCCCTGCTTCTCCCCCCGGGCACCTGCACTGAGAAGCACATTCTGAGCCGTGGGGTGCCAGGCCACAATGCCCACGCGCTTGGTGTGGCCCTCCAGGGTGACAACAGGCTCCCGCAGGGGCAGCATGAGGCCCCCATCAGGGATCTCCCACACCTGCAGAGAAGCGGTGAGTGAGTCTTGGAGGCTCCAAACGTCAGCTCCAGTGCTGGAGCCCCCTCCTGGCCCCTGTGTCCCCACACTCACCATGACTGTGCAGTCCTCGGAGCCACTGGCAATGACATTATCATTGTGCGGGCACCAGGCAATGTCCAGCACTGGGGCCGTGTGGCCACAGACCATAGGCACGTTCTTGTCCACACGTCCAGTCTAGAGGACACAGCAGGGCCTCTGAGGGAGGTGCTTTTGCCCTCCAAACCCAATCCAACCTCCCTACTCCCCTCCACGAGGCACAGAGAGAAAAGCTGTGAGGTCCCTGGGAGGCAGAGCGGGGCCTGGGGTGGGAGGGTTTGGGCCTCTGCCCCAGCCCCAGAGGTGTCTGGGCAACTCAGTAGCGCAGGATGGGCACATGGGGCTGGTCCTGCCTTGCCGTCAGAGCCTTGCCAAGTTCCTGCCATCTCTAGCTCAGTTTCTCATCCATGCCCCGCGGCCCGGTACTCCCACCCCAGCTTCCCCAGGTGAGGCCCCCATGGGAAGACAGGTCAGGGCCCTGGGCATGGGACAGGCTGGTGGGGGCTAGTTATACTGGGGCTGGAGTTCCCCAGGGAAGTGTGTGTGAATGATGGGGCTGTAGGGATGGGTCCTTCCAAAAGGACAGGGATGG